GTATGACCAAAAAAGCCCGGTCTGAATAAGGTCCCATTAGTCTACTCTAAGAAGTTTTGGTCAACGATAGAGGACAAGATTGAACTGAATAACCACGATCTGGTGTCCGACATGCTAGACAAACGTGTCTGACATCTTAATTGGTACCTCTACGAGAATTAACTCAAATGAACACCTGATCCTTTATCGAAAGTGTGACGTTAGAGTTAAATAAGCCCTGACGTTTGTTTTGGCCACAGTCTTGGTTTGGGGTCGTTTCAACATACAGTTGATCAACAGACTGATAAAAAAAATTAAGTCTTCTACTTATATGTCGTATAAAACGTTAAAATTAAATAATTGTCACCAACGGATTTGTAATCGAAATTAAAGCTTAATGGGCTACCTGCTCCTGTTGAATGGGAAATTTTCCGCTACCAGTTTCATAACGCGGACGGCGCTGGAGGTGTGGATCATCCGCACACTGACGGTGACGTCACCTTCCCACAAGAGGCGGAACGTCACGCCGTACGTCCCGTTCCCGTAGTCTCGTACCCGGCCCGGCGCGCTGGACTTGGTCTTCTCGGTGTAGATTTTCGCACGGAAGAAGTCCCCTCCATGAGTCTTCTCTCTTGTTGGGCGCAGAGAAAAAAAACGCAGAGGTAGTTAATTTAATATATTACTATCCAGTCACAAACAATGTTTTACAGAAAGAAACATGATTTCATACATGTACGACTGTAAAAGTTAGAGCTCGGTTACACTTCTGCGTATCACCATTGCGTATGAGTTGCGCACAGATTGCTATTGTTTACATTAGCACATGATAGAAAAAAAAGACAATTCTGCCATACGCACAATATGTAACGTTGCTGTGACGCAAATGTAGCGTATAAACAACGACGAAGTATTGCATATGAGATCCAAGCGTTAGTATGTGCTGCACATATAACATCCATGCGTTTGTATGCACTGCACAGGCCAAGCGTATTCTGGACGCACTCAGCGTGTGCCCACCGCATGCCTAACGCACTGCCGACGAATGCCAATCGTATTACAAGCCTATTCCCTGCTGCTTCCCTGTTGTTTCATGTGCAGTGGGTCTTTCTCATCATGGGCTTCCCTCAACTCAGTTATTTTTTTCTCCATTATACCGGGTCATGCCCTGGTCAATTCCCTGTAATATATTGCCCGGTAAATTGAATACCTATGCTTTGACTTTATACAAACATAACGGTTAGACTGTTAAAAGCCTCGAGTTGGAGGTGCATGAGTTGGAGCCGGAGAAATACACTCCCTTTATAATTTGAAAACTATAAAAACACCTATACTTCAAATACAGACAATTCACAATTGCGCAATACACACAGACAGTGTGTACACTACGCATCTCTGAAAACACTACAGCCGTGTGAATTATAACTTTTTATTACGTGTATTTACAGATCTACGTACACTACACAATTTCTCGGACAAACAATAAAATAATGCAGCTAGTGTATTATCCCGAAGTACAGGCAACAAAAGGCTTCTATTTTGTGATACATATTGCTATATAGATAATATTTGAAATTGCCAGTCATATCATAATTTTTTGGGGGGATGGTGGAACAGGGGAATATTTTGTGTTAACATGCATTTTTTTTGATAACGGGTAAAACATATTTTACTCTAGGAAAAACCATGTACTTTCTCAGCAAAACATGTTAGAAAGAGTCAATCTTAACAGATCACTCAAATTTTTATTTCATTTTTACCATGAGGTCTAGAGGGGCAGGTACCCCATTAGTACCCCAGGTGTTCGATAAGTTCGTTCTCTGCACGCGATCTCTGCACGTTGTAGTCGGGTATGGTTCCTGTCGAGAAGTTTACATAAGGATGCTGTCAAGGACCAAGAGTCGGCTACGTAGAGCAGGATTGACTCAAAACATATTTTAAAAACTTGAAGCTTAGTAGTTTTTGATATTGGAGATTCACAAATTTTTAGAGCATTAGTCCCCCTAATCCTACATTTCACATCATGGACCGTGTTACCATAGCTGCCAAAGTTTTTTAAATCATCTACTTGCTCGATAGTAGACCCGTCACTAGACAGCAAGGCTTGTGGCCTTGTTGGAGGGTTAAGGTGCATAAACTTAAGCATTTAAGTAAAGTCCAATATCCTGTGCGGCATGCTCTACCTTGTACAGAAACTCTTGAGCAGTCTTCTAGAAGACAAATATCATCAGCAAAGTCAAGGCCAGGTAGAACCACTGCTGGTTCTGTCTTCTCTTTAAGGTGATGCCGTCATCGGTCCTAACTGCTCTACGTAAGGCATAGTCCAATGCAACAATGAAAAGAAACGGTGCAATGGGATCGCCCTGAAAGACGCCTGTGTTGATGTTAAAGGTGTCAGATTCTCCCCCGGGTGTGAGGACAGTAGCCTTAGCATTAACATACATAATCTTAATTGCATTGACAATCGGCAGAGGCACACAATATGCCTGTAGGATCGTGAACATGACTTTTTGATTGATCGTATCAAACGCTTTCTTGAAATTTATGAAGATAATGATTATCTGTCATATCTTTATCTTCATCGCCATTTTACTACATCCCAGTAAATGTAAAGAAGATCGCAAACAAGTACAGAAAGTACGCGAAATGGTGCTTTCGACGAAGGCGACAATTCTCTCTCAAACCCACCCAAAGAACCACGCGGCCGTGAGTTCGAGTGTTGGCGTTAAAGCTGACTTATAAGAAGAAAGGTTGAAAAACTCAAGACAAATACAAAACAGAAAGAGAGTGCCGTCGACCATTTCATATAAAAAAAACAACACGCTAGAGTGCGTTTCCCAATGTAAAATTGAAAGATTGTGGGTTTGGCCGTAGGAAAAATATTTGAACTATAACAATATTGTTGCCGAAATCAGCAAGAATTTCAACTTTGATAGACCCCACAGGGGTGTATTCTAGTGTTTTCTAGGTAAACCATTCTACATTCTGAAAAAAAAAATCTGCCGTACATAGATGTTTCTTTTATGATTTAAGAATCGCATTGCGTGAAAGGATTTTTATAGGTTGATAATCTGACAAAAGATGATCTGATGGACATTGAAGAAATGGTATTAATATATATACATTAACAAATGCAAATTATTTTCTCTACTAGGCCTTAGCTCCCCTTGAAAGAATTTCTCCCAGATTGCTTTCATCGGCATGCGACGTCAGAAAGAGTCAACTACTCTTGGGAGATATGACAGATCAACGCTACAATGCTGATTGATGACCACACCAAATTGTAACACAGATTGATTGGTTAATTTGTGACCTGGAAATCTTTTGCGAATAAAGTAAGTCAACTGCCTTAGGACATGCTCTATAAACTAATTTATAACGATTACTGCTGTCAACGTTACTGTGAAATGATGAAGACATAGCCATCCATTGCTGTGCGTAGGAAATGCACATATCCCTTGAGAGATACCAAGACATGAAGGATTATAATATGTACTCAGTAGAGTCTTCTCACATAAAGAACTCCTGTCAGTACCTGAAACTTAAAATTATAACTTTAATTTGTTCTCGTACTGTGTAACAGTACATCACCCATATACGCCCTTTCTTGTTTGAACAGATAGGTATCTTACCAAGAATGATCTGTTTCACATCATGCCCCTCATAAATACCTTGTAACTGTTCTTTCTCTGTAGCAAGAAGATCAAAGAACACATATTTTTATATATTATTAAGTTAACATTGTCTCTATCAATATCAGAGGCATACATGCTGTATAAATATATATAGATAAGAGAAACTTATTTAGATGGTTACATTTACCAAATAGCACGATGGAATATTTACGTAATCTCCGCCCTGTATTCCACGTGGCGTTATGACGTACCTGTTGAAGATATCCATTGCACGGATAGTCACAAATAAAACGTCGCCAACTCTGAAGACAGATCCCGGATTTACGATATGAAACTGTGTGAATTCGGCCGACGTTGTTGTGTCATTGCCTGGTGGAATATCGCGGTAACTTCCTGAGAATTCCTGTAGAAGACTAGACAGCCGGGCACCCTCCTCCTCTGGGGTTGTTTTGTATTGAGAACTGTTGAGGAATATATTCCGGCTGAAAATTAAGAGCAAATATTAGTGTATTAATGGGAAAATTTTGGAAGCGTATTTCAAAACCTCAGTATATAATTTGATGAGGACGGTAAATCGATAAATACTAAGTTCTTAGCCATACAACAATTTGTATTTTGTTGTATGGCTAATACTATCCTCGGAGTTACAATGTGTAAATGAGATGTGGAGTTCAAACAACCCTGAGAAATTACCCGAGATGTTACAGAAATGTCACAGGATAAAATCCATTTAATTATTTACCTAAGAAAATATGTGTCTGTTTGTGTGTTTGAAAATATTACCAGTTTTCATATTTGCACATTCAGTCTCATGATACATGGGTAATGATGTCATCCATCTTCACAGCTGCAGACGAGTACAATCACATGTCTTAAACGTCGATGGATAAATGAGCACCATGTAATGTTCAGTTAACGTAACCCACTTACATAGTTTTCTCACATGGTCGTACATAATATATTCTTCAACTGGAGCCTCTAATAAAAACATAATAACAGAAGTCAGGATTGGCATACAAACAGTAATGCTAAATTACCATACGTTACCTTACATGGGGTGGGGTCTGGACAGGTTGTGTTGAAAGTCTCCAGGATTGCTCGATTACTCTACCCAAAAATAGGTATACAGCTGCCCCCATGGCAACCGTTGCGAAAATCTTGAACTTCATTTTAAATCAGTTCTGTCAACAGATAAGATGTGTGCTTTTTAATCCTTGTCTTTGAGAATATTTTGGACGGCATACTAACGTACGCAGTCTTTGACAAACGTCAAATGACTTCAAGATGGCGGATCATATCATTAGATCAGGTATAAACCGGTAATTTTCTTCAAAATTTCATCACTTCTTCCTTTTTTTCTACAAAAACAATGACACTCTTTAGTCCATTTTCACGTATTTTAGCTTTTAGTATGAAAAGAATATTTTTCAAAATACCTGCTCTGATAAAATGGTCTGCCATCTTGGATTTTGGCCAATGACTCCATCAAATTAGCATAAATCATGCCATGCATAATTTTAAAAAAATTACATAAAATTAATATTACATAAAATTACAAAAATTACATAAAAATAATATTAGAGTATGTGTAAAATTGACATTAAAGCCTGAAGATTTCACTGTTTAAGTCAAAATTACCGATTTTTGCTAAAATGCCTTTTAGAAAACCTTTGCCATGGCAACAGGAAAAATTATTACTTTATCTCACTGCTATAAAATAGTTGGCAACGTAGTAATATTTCAATGAAAGTCATTAAGTTTGGTGGACCTAGCACAAGACGTTAGGACGTTATCTGATATCAAAGTTGGCGCGGGCACTTTTAGCTAAATGATTCAGAATACATAATTTCAGTAGAAATAACAAACGGAATAAAGAACTGCAAACATAAGCGCGAAATAAAAAGCAAAAAAACAAGAGTTCCGAGATCTCATACCTCCATGAAATATGGACTTGATATGCAAATGTAAATTTCTTCTTTAGTTATGCAAATGACCTCTGCATTAACATAATATATGCATCGTGCTGTTAACTTTTGATTAACTTACAGATGTCCCAAGTATGGCATTCCCATCATTCACCATTAAGAAATTCAAAACAAAATTTGCATTAATTATGCAAATTAAGTCACCATTTGCATAATAAGTATCTGTTGATCTTCAGTCTGCCATAGGTTACATACATGTTTGAAAGAACTATAATGTAAAACATTGTGATTATAGAATTTCCTTATCAATTATGCAAATTTAGTCCTCATTCGCTTAATTTACATTTCATTATGTACATCTCTCTCTCTCTCAGCTACCTACCTACCAAAAATGATGAAATTACAAAGTTGTTCCTATCTGGACTTATTGGCTTTCAAAGATTTCGCCCGAAAGTCCCCTGCAGTTCCAGGACAAGCTGCTAGGGTGACCAAACCCAAACCACTTATTTCTGACAGAAGCTATCTGTCACATGAAAGTTCAAGACCATAGCATGTTCAGGACAAAAGATACAAAAACTGGAAGTTCTGCTGCAGTACCAAGGTCATCCACCAGGAGAACCATATTTGACCTTGACCTTCGTCTTCCTAAGACTTTCCAGCATACTAAATATCATCACAATCCATAAAGGCGATATGAAGTTATGCTGACTACAATAGTGCGGAAACACTAACACACACACAGACACACACAGACGCGCCAAAAACAATACCTCCATTTTTCATGGAGGTAAAACGCAGAAAGCTTCTTCTCTGACGAATAGACTCTTTTCGACTTTAAGTGGACCCCTTCCACCGACATGATCGATAAGGGGAAATTCAAAACAGCGCACTACCATACATGGTTAAGTTACTGAATAACTCTGAAACGGCAATGTAAGAGTAATCTGTTGCTAATGTTGTACAACAGCCTCTCACCGAACCTTTTTTACTGTGTAACGTTTTAAACATGTATATTGATTATCAATCCATTTTCTATAGCAGAGGAATATTTCACAATTTATAAATTTTAACAATATTTAATAATATGTAATAATGTTTCAATAATAATACCCATATTTTAATGATATTTTGTGACCTCAGAGCAATCCAGGCAGCCAGTATGGCTGCCTGCGAGTCTGTTGTCAGTGTGGTGGTAATTGAAATTGTGTAATTGTAAAAACCGGAAGTTCTGCTGCAGTACTAAGGTCAGCCACCAGGAGGCCCATATTTGACCTTGACCTTTGTCTTTTCAAGACTTACCAACATACTAAATATCATCTCATCAATCCATAAAGCACTCGTTCTCATTCAAATGTACAAAATGCTGTCGCCACTCTTTATGACTAGGTATGAGCCAAATCATGGACCTAATCGTTGCTTCCTTCACTTTCCCACTACACGTACTATGTTTTACGAAAAATGTACCACAAAACTAGGTTTGATACATGACTTGAGAGAAATTATGGTCGCGGGTTGGATTTCTCCCCCTAAAAAGCGGCTGTCGCCTGAGACGAAATAGAAACTTTAAAAAGCTACCTAAAACGTAGCAATTTGATTACGGCAGTAGTTTTCTGCCTGGTGAAGTCGGGTGGCCAGGCCCTCTGACTGATCAAGTCAGATCGCTTCTGTCACTATTTTTGTACGCTGTGCGAGGTGTTTCATACCTGTCGCCAAGTTCTGTAACATCCGTTACCGCTCAAGTAAGACGGTCGTGCAGTTTAGATAGAGTCACATATAAGACAAGAAATTGCCATTTTGATGACTTTTAGCAAGTTTTCTAGGTTTCTAAGAGAAGACGAAAAGAGTGTGTGCTGTCATTTGTAGCCACCTTCGCTGAACAAATTGTTTTACAGTAATGAATGTAACATCCGTTACCGTTGTTTTTACTTTCAATTTTGTTCCTTCACCTGGTATATAAAAAGTCGCCCAGTTTAAAAATGTCCGTACATATGCCCCCTTGTTCTCAAAGGATGAAGATAAAAACTGCAGATCTTCTTGGAAAAATAAACAAAAACGTCCGTTTTGTAACATCTGTTACCGGTAAAGGAAGTTACACCTGTAGCGGAAAAGACGTATGCACCATAAACATAATAGTTGGAAATAAAGTAGAAAAAATATGGATCCGAAGAAAAATAACCCTCTGTGGCGTCAACAAACTCAAATGTTCTACTCTTCTTTGCTTCTAAAGATATTTTTTGCTACTTCTATACACTACACTTAGCTATCTTTATGTGTTCGATACGTGTATATTTACCAGTAAATAATGGGTTGACAGAAGTACTTTCATAGATACTGACGTCTAAACTAATGGCTTTTGAAGTGATGTCATGAATACAAGCTTTACGTACACCCAATTCATGCTGATGTTCCAGCGTTTTTGCTGCACTAAAAATTGCATTGTTTACATATGTCTTATCTAAGTGCATAGATTTTCGGTAACTTCCCATGGCAATTAAGCTGTCCTTTTTAGGTAATCATTATTTGAGATGTTTTCCTAAAAAATAAGGTAGGTTTGCCTGAAAAAACAGATCATCGATTTTTCGACCCAAAAAATCACTATTTTGTACATTTCAATGAGAACGAGACAAAGGCGTTCTGAAGTTATGCTGACCACAAAGTTGCGGAAACACACACACACAGACAGACACACAATACCAAAACCAATACCTCCATTTTTCATGGAGGTAACTATGTATTATTTGATTGCAAGTGTGAAAGGTCTATATTTTGGTCCTATAAACAGTCTCTTTCTAGCTTTTATTTAAATACACGTTTACATACATACAGACATGCATAACAAATAGCCACTGAACCAGCCTGTACTCGAAAACGGATACTGTTTACATAAATCTGTCTTGAAATGAACTGATCACAGAACAGCTTATTAAAGCCTGGAACCTGAAATATCAAAGCATACGACAGTTCGTCTATTAAGAAAAAAAGTACTTACGAGTAGTACAACTACGAAGATGATTAAACTGTTTGCAGAATGCAGATATTTGATCACTCACTTGCGAGTACCCACTGATATGTGTCGACGTGGAAGCTGATTCATATCTTTGTTGTTGCTGCTGGGACATATCAAAACTGCGCAGTGTGTAACAATGAAAATATGCCCAGACTTGTTTTTTTTCTTGACTTTAAAATGATAGCTACCACTCAAAGGTGTTGTCTAAAGTTTCATAATTTACCTCCGCTGCCAAAGAGCATTATTGTATCCAGGAGAATAGGATTTCAATGTTTCAAACGGAACATTTAGTTGGATTGCGTCCCTCTGGGCCAAACCTGTGACCCCCGCAATTATAATGGTTCATTCCTCCTCGCGCATTGTGGTCGCAGTACACAGTATTTATAGGCGTAGTCCAGGCACAAAGTAGTGCAGCACATTTTTTTATAAAGCTGCCGCGATTCTTTCGTGCAGGACAGCGAAGTGAAAACTATACTGAATTGTTAAGTAATGCATCGGTTTTGAGGCCGTATTATTTGAATCAGGATACTAGTATTTACTAGGCCGGGATAGATTTGCGCCTAGATCCTGTTTCGACCTAATTGTGGGTCGGCTGCAGTTCACATGACCCCCGCAAAGCGTCGAAAAATGGTTATTTATGGGAAAACGAGCAGACGAAATTTGTTGGTAGTACCCTGAACTCGAATATTTCGAACATCGGATTATCGTAACTTGCTTGTGCACCCATACATTGGTGGATCCAGAAATTTGTGAACCGGGGGGAGAAGGGTCTGCATGAGAAACCTCCTTGGCTAGCACAGCCTTCAGCTCTGCAGAGGGCTATTTGTTTTTTATTCATTATCTGTTTTTTTAGCATTAGATAGGAAGCACTTGTTGTGCTGATGTGAATCCGCTGCTCATAAAACATAATACAAATGTAAACATGAAGATGACATAAAATATAACATAAACCTGAAATGAAAGTGGCTGCGCGCACCAATTGGCAATACCTATAAGTTAATATAACGTTAATGAGGTTGGTCGAATAGATGAATAAAGTTGAACACAATATCAAAGATAGGGCAGTTTAGACAGTATGGGAGGGACCATTAAAAGGTAAATTGCATAAGGTTAATGTTTACTTACTATAAATAGACTTCTTTGATCTCTTCAAAACAAGTCAATTAGATGGATGGCGTCACCGGTTCAGGGCTCGTGAATGCCATCCAGCCAATTTCGAGCGGCGACCGACTTATGAATAATTTATCAAGGCCCACGGACGCGGTTCTTTCACTTGTAGAGGAGCCAATTATCACTGATCCGGTGGCACAAGATGGGCGAAAACACGTACTTTACAACCATTGTTCGTCGATATAAAGCGCTTATACATTACAAAGAGAATTTTCGTGGGACTGACATTTCTTTAGTTTGCAGCATGTGTATTGAGAACGGGTATCTTCATAATTCTACTAGCTGTTTTATAAGAACGGCACAATGAAACAGTGACACTTTTAGCGCACCCCAGTCACCCCTCCCCCAGGGTAGGGTTTTCCTGCTCTTCTTATTTGAGTGGGCTAACCACGGGTTACATATCCTGTTATCATTTCAATATGAATAGATAACTAAATAAATGAACGAATATTTATTATCGTGTATTGCGACTTTTCTTTGTCGCCCAGCCCATATGAGCTTATAAAACACCAGAAAAGTAAACTTAATTTAAACATATGGACGTGTCAAGAAAAGAGAACAACCAAAGAAGAAACAAAACCAACTTATTGTAACTGTCGTTTTTTATGAACAAATGTAGCGTTCTTTCTAAGCCTGTTGAATGTATGAAGCAATTTCAAACATATATTTTAGGTCTCTTTCTACAATTTAATTAATATTTTGGCTGGAGCTCCTTAAAACGCCTTAGTCGACACTTGCAGAGGGGTAAAGATTTTACACATCTTTTCTTGTTACCAATATTGTTGAATCTCTTAAATATCTTAAGTTTTTTTGTTAATTTTATGACTTCATTGCTCAAAATCTAAAATGACAGACCGTTCAGTACCTTTTAATCAATTTAAGCATTTTTCACATAAAACTTTACTATGAACAGATAGATACTATTAGATAGATAGATAGTAATCATTTGCTAAGATTCTATTTAGTATGTAATTTATACTTTTTCCATCTCTGAATAATTTATATCTAAACTTGACAATACATTACTAGAACGCTCTTATTGTCTAACAGTCTTGCATCACCAAAGAAAAAAATCGAGAACCAACTGGATGGTTTTAATTTTTTTTGGCCAAATCTTCCTCGAAAGAGTATCCGAACATATCAAAGTCCTTCTGAAAGACCTTCTGTAGTGGCAAAATTTCATCCGTCGGGACTCGGCCGTAGAAGTCTTTGAAAACATTGCCATTGTTCACGTTTCTCGACTGATGTATTGGGAGGACGTCTTCATTGGCTGTGATGTTGTTCTGCTTTAAGAAGAGTCGAATGTCCAAAGCAATTGTGTCCGTGTGGGCAACAAAGTCGTAGTCAATCTAGTAGAGAAAGGAAATGTATGCCATTATCCGACTTTTACCACAAATTCGAATATCATACAAATAATTGAGTCATTGACTGTAAAATTTACCGCGTAAAAGGATTCATTTTATGTGGGTGGGATTTAAATAAACGTGAATAAAAATGTGGTCTACCTTTAGATAAGGGAGTAAGTCTAACACAGTACCTTGCATGGTGTACATAGCCTGTCGAATGATAACCAGTGCTGACTTTCCTCTATTCGATGCGAAACGGCAAAGAGAAACTCTCGGAACGACACTCGTTTTGGGTCGTTGTCTGTCCTTTCTTCGTTTATTTTACTTAACTGGAATATAAAAATACACATGTTTATTTTGAAAGAGAAGCTTTGGGAGCCGTATAAATCAGTGCATGAGAGACAAATAGCGATAATTTGCATATTATAATACACACCATACTGAGTTGCATGGCATAGTTGTATATTGCACCGTCTATTTTGAAGCTCGTTGCCAATTACTTAACAAAGACTGGCCTTGTTCTGTATCTGTATCTGTATCTGTATAGCCGGTATAACCGCCTTTCGGCGTAACACACCAGCTTCGCAGGCACGCGGGGCGGTGGCAGCTGGCTATATTACACCGATCGACTTGTTATACCTAAGCCTTGAACTTCTAGCTCTAGACGTTGTTTAAAGCTATCTATTGACAATGCCCCTACTGTACTTGGTGACAGTGAGTTCCACTCTGCGATAGTTCTAGGAAAGAATGAATTCTTGAACACCTCAATCCTTGGTTGATATCTCTGGTACTTGAATGCGTGGCTATTTCTTGTTCTCTTCTGGGCTGGTATTAAGTACTTAGTAGTTGGGACATCCACCAGTTTATTAGTCATTTTGTACATCATGCATAGTCTAGACATCTTTCTTCTGTCTTCCAGTGAGGTCCACTGTAGGTTTCTTTTCATTTCCGTGACACTAGCACCTCTTACATAGTTGTTCATACAGAATCTTGCAGCTTGATTCTGTACCCTTTCCAATTTGTCTTTGTCTTTCTTTGTATATGGATCCCATACTGTCGCAGCGTATTCTAGGTTCGGTCTTACAAGTGACGTGTATGCAAGTGATTTTACTTTAGTTGGACATGCCCACAGATTACGTTTAATCACTCCCAATGTCTGTTTCGCCTTAGTTGTGATATTATTAACATGTGCACCCCACTTCAGTCCGCTTGTCAGCGTGACGCCCAGATACGGATGGATTTTTGTGGTTGCTAAAGCCTGACCACAAAACTGGTAGCTAGTTGCATGTGGTGTTCGTTTGTTTGTTATGTGCATAATGTAGCATTTTTCGGGATTAAACTGCATGAGCCATTTGCTTTGCCATTCTTCCAGTGTGTTCAGGTCTTTTTGGAGAAGTTGTGAGTCGGTCTGTGTAGAAAGCTCTACATACAATAGACAGTCATCGGCAAATAACCTCACATTTGAGTCAAGCTGATCTGGTAGGTCATTTATATACAAGAGGAAGAGCAATGGCCCCAGGACGGTTCCTTGAGGGACCCCAGACGCTACTTTAACTGGAGCCGACGCCTTCCCTTCAACCACTACTGTTTGCTCCCTGTTGGTCAGGAAAGCCTTTAACCAATTCAGCGTAGGGCCTTGGATTCCACAATACTCCAGTTTTGAGATGAGCCTGCCATGGGGGACTTTATCAAAGGCTTTAGTGAAATCAAGTATTGCTAAGTCTACCTGCCGTTTACTGTTTAGTGCGCCAGCTATGTCATGGACTGTTAGTATAAGCTGTGTTTCTGTGGATCGTTTGGCTCTGAATCCATGCTGGTAATCCGTTAATATACTGTAACTTTCTAGGTGCTTCATGATTTGGCTATGGATAATATTTTCAAGTAGTTTGCAGGATATGCAGGTCAGTGAAACAGGTCTGTAGTTGCTGGGGACCGCTCTATCTCCTTTTTTAAAGATGGCGCATATATTTGCATCCCTCCAATCTTTAGGGATTTCTGCAGTGTTTAGCGAGTGTTGGAAAATATTGGTTAGAACAGGCGCGATTTCTCTAGCTGTCAACTTGAGGAACCACGGTGGTATTTGGTCTGGTCCGGATGCTTTAGAGGGATTGAGACCTTGAAGCATTTTTTCGACACCATCAGTAGAAACTACTATATGTTCCATTGGAGGAGTACATGGCTGGCCTAGAGATGGCATATCTGTGGTGTCTTCCTCTGTGAAAACACTTTTGAACTGTGAACTGAGTACTTCTGCTTTTTTCCCACTGTCACTGATGATGGTATTTCCCACCTTTAGGGGTGCTACCCCGACAAGGTCTTTCCTCAGTCCTTTTATGTACGACCAGAATGTTTTAGGTTTGTCAACTATAGCTTCTCCCAGTATGTCTGCCACGTATTTAGAGTGTGCTTGTCTTATGCTTTTCTGAACTCCCTTCTTAACTCTCTTGTTAATTGATTATATTTTACCAACTCATGCAAAATTTCATATTCTACATTTACATGTTTGTTAATGATATTGATTGCTATAATTCTGTATCCAGATGTAAAGAGCTCAAATAAGTTGTACAACAAAAGTTTAGACATCAGACTTTTTGAGAAAATACTTAGGCATGGGGGGGGGGGATTTTGAGCCCACTCGCACCTCGGATAGTGCCTGAACGGCTTGCGCTAGAAACATCAAATTACTATAGGTGAATTTATTTTATTCCACCACTTTCTGACAATTTGGTGCTCCTGCGATAATTGTTTGTTAAGTTACAGGGGGCGGGCCTCAAAAGCCCCAGCCCCCACCGCCTGAGCATGCCCGAATAAAAAGTCCGGTCTGAATAGAATTAAGAACGGTTAAATGTGCCTCACCTCGTCTATCAGGGTGCGATCTTCTAAGCTGTCTAAACCACGCCTCATGCGATTAACAAACGCATATTCTCCGACACGTTCCGGAGTAATAACGAACTTGTCGAACCATGCAGACGCCAACCTGCCATGTACAGAATAGGAGATATTGGTGTTAAATCATAATACAAAGTACTAGGTTCTTATCCCCAGCGGTGTGCCCTAGGATGGTCTTACTATTTATCAACACAAACTCAAAACAACCAAAGCAGAGCTCGTCTAAATTTCATTAATCTTGAATTAAAACCATGTACCATCAGTGTAATCTTTTGTCTCTATCATTTCAGTAATAGATTCAATTCCGCGTCACCGTGTGGGTTGTTATTGTCATTACTTAAAAATGCTTCCAATTCTTTGTAATTGTCTATAAAAAGTGGTTGCCGAACAGATATCAGATGGTTGTTGCGTATAATCGCTTTTGAGTACGTGTATCTGTTGAGATTGTGACTTACCCTTTGCACCTACTACGATACCTTGTCAAGTAAAAATGGGTAGCAATAAAGAGGTTATTAAAAATAACTTTTTTCACCTGTTTAGATTGCCGTGTAGTTGAACTTATGTGGCCTGTGTTTAGACAAAATCTCGACTGTGGGCTTAGGACCCCCACATCAAGTCTTTTGGGCGGGCAGCTGCCATGAGCACGATTTATCCAGGGTACAGATCTAAAGCCTCGGTCACAACCCGCCGTGCGTGCTTTTTGTCCGTACGTTTTTTTTTTTTGGGGGGGGGAGGCTACGTCTTCTGAAAACGTGCGTTGTACTCTCATAGGATGTACAGGGCACGCGCGTCACACGTACGGGTGGTGAATACGCAGACCGCACGCATTAAAAGTTTTACATGCACTTAAAGTTCTACGACGTGTCTGTGTGCTCCAAAATCCGTAGGATTATGCACGGAGGCGGTACTCACCACGCACGGATGCCCTACGTTTGCCCAGGCACGTTTTTGCACGTAGACAGCACGCAGAAGCACATACGGCGGGTTGTGACCAAGGCTTTATATATTTTACCCGGGATTTACCAATTTTTATACGTTGTTACCAGTTGTTGATAACTAACACACTGTTCACATACCGTATACTGTTCCCAATCTGTAGATTGTAAAACTTCACTGAGAATCGTGGCCTATGGACACTTGTTAAAGCTAATCTGATGACGTGTTGTTGCCATAGGAAATCAATGTTCTGTAGTGTCTACCAATCATCATTGATTTCCCTCCTGCAATTTAGTTTGTGACAAGAGATGTTGAATGTAGGGTACAGACCGGAGGGTTAGAGCTTGATCACCGTTTAGTGAATTTTGCAACAAAACAAAGATAGGAAGGCCAGTGCCCGCAATTTTTGTCGTATTGATTAGAGAAAATTTGCTTTTTCTACAATGTCTGATTCCAGCAACTCTAGTTGAATCTTTTTTAATCTCTAACACTAATTTTACACGTGTTATCGCATAAAAGAATTATATTTACCTCTCCAAAGGGTCGCGAACAACGATGATCTTTTTGTAGGTCGCAAGACGCAGACTGACTTCTTCTTCGCTGTAGTCCGCCAATGATTTAAAAGGTTGTTGGTGTATCCACTCAACATCATGTTCGCCAGGTTGGTTACTTTTATCGTTACCAGGTAACCAGTCAACTTTTCTAAAACCCCATAACAACCGTTCAGTTGCATTGTGCTCCAGATTGTAAAGTAACAATTTCATTGTTGTACACCCGGTTTTGGGGATATAGCAGTAGACGGTTTTGATCTTGTCAAAAACGAATATGTGGTTGTTTCGGCTAGTTTTCGATGCCCTCTAAAAAGAAACAAAGTACATTTGTAAAGCGTATGATCTAACTTAATCAGCCAAGAGATCATATTTTAAAAAATTGATGTCATGTAAGATTTTTTGAGCCAAAACAGTAAATATAAATAATTGATACTTATCTGGACTGTAATTTAAAAAACTTTTAACATATATCAGTGTCGCTATTTCTCTTTTCGGGCTACTCGAGTGCAGCCCGAGTTACACTAGGCCTAAACTTTAGAACATTTTGATTGGTACGTCGATTGGTTGGTTATGATACAACAATGTAATTATATATATACTATATACATGTAAGCAACGCTTACACTGAAAAAGCTTGAACTAGATAGGTAACATTTGCAAGGCAAATGCATAGTGTTTACTTTCGCATATGGTCAGCTCTGTTAATTATTACTAAAACAAAATAAACTTGAAAACGCATTCGCATATATGTTCAGACATGAGTTTAAATCCCTCCTGCCATAAAATTGCAAGATTATGTATCCTGACACTAGTTACCATGGTAGCAAACACACCATTGGTTCAGGTAATTAAAGTCAGTGGTTTTTGGAGAAGAAGAAGAGGAGGAAACGGAGCAAAAACAATATGTTATCTTCGGCACCAAACTGACTTTTTGCTAGAATATTGGTGTTAACAATTTCTGAGCAGTGAAATAAGTTCAAAATTTTTGTGTTACCATGGTAACGGTAATAATTTGCCTGTTGTGATTTACATCATGAAATACATCATATTCTCCATCCAACGACACTCTTATCCTTACAAAGAAGACTATTCTAATATTTCCTGAACAAATATTCAAATAAAGTCCAGATTTAAATAATTAATGTTTAATGATGGTCATCTTCATTTGAATTCCAAATGCTGAAAGTGTGGAATTCCTAGCAGTTACCACTTTGTTATTCTAATTTTCTCATTAATTATGCAAATTAGGCCTTCATTTACATAATATCTGCTGATGTCCAGCTGCTCTCAATTACCTGTCTTAAGTCATATTATGGAACACAGCTGTTTAAGAGAATTTCCTCATTCATTATGCAAATTAGATCTTTTTTGCATAATTATAATCTATTTATGTCAATCATTAAGTAAGCTACCTACATACCAAATAGCATGACGATTCCACAACCGGTTCTTGAGTTATATTTCTTGAAGTATTTTTCAACAAATGACCTTGCAGCTCAAGAGCCACCAGGGGACCCAGACTCATGTCACTCAATCACAAGAGCTACTTATTACTTGAATTTCGTGCCCCCAGCATGTCTAGATCATGACATATTAAAACCAGAAGTTCCGTTGCAGTACCAATGATAGCCGCCAGGGGGCCCAAATCTAATCATTTCTACGTCTCGTTAAGACCTATCCACCTACTAAATATCATGACGATACACTTAAGCTTTCTTAGGCTATCGTGTTTACAAAATTAACACACAGACACAAGAACGCCTCTGAAAACATAACATTCTTTGCGAAGGCAATAAGAGTTTAAAGAGAGAATCAATGATAGCCGCCTGTTGAACCACGCGCTCATTCTACAGTGTCAGCATTTGTAGCTAGAACCAGCCAACTTTGCTGTCAGTAAGGTATTTTATTACATTGATACCTAAAATGTAATAAGTAGCTTATTTTTTATGTAGTTTTGCACAAAAAAACTTTTTTTTTATTAAGGCCACACCAAGTAAATTTTATGGATGACGTCCTTTGGAGACCCTAAATCTAATGCGAGAGGGCGAAAGAAAAACAAGAAAGGCCCTAAAAAACAAGATGCCTAGATTAGAAATATACTAAGAGACAACAAATGTTAGGACACAAATTGAATGAGGTGACACAGTGTAACAAGCAAGAAGTCTTTTATTCATCATCAAAACAGCAATAAATCAGGTAGAACAGCAGTTGTCGTCCTGTCCTGTTTTCGCGTTACGGGTTTCACGTCAATCTGATGATTTGCGGCACTGTCGTGACTCTTTGGTCATAGTTACAGGAAGCAGAATTTCTTGTTTTTTTTCTAGGAACAGGCCAAAATCAATGCGCGCGCGGACGTCATCCATAAAATTTACTTGGTGTGGCCTAAACATTAAAACGTACCTTTGGAAAGTTCCTCTCACAGTATGTGTTAAGCAGAGTTATTCTTCGGGACTGTTCCTTCTCCGCTTCAGCTAAGTTTTCCCAAGTTTCTCGAAGACGAAGAGAAAAGAGATTGGAACAGCAATAGAATGGGCGTTAAGTCCACCAATAGAATGGCCCTTAAGTCCACAACAATTCAATTTTTATATGAGAACTTTATTTTGATTATATGTATATGATTATATTTGGGTACAAATATAGAATAAGCAAATATATTTTTCTGTACATTCTTATCTTGCTGACTTGCACTTGTTTTCCAGCGAGAAAATAATGTTGTGTCTTAAATACATATTTATACTGCAATTTCTACATTAATACTGGCAACTCTTCGACTTTGGAATGGCAGTTTTATGTCTGATTCCATCTTCTTTTTTTTTAAATGATGGTGTTCAAAGTCATTAGAAAATCTGTAGAACCTGACATTGTCAGATATTTTATACGGCAAACATTTTTTTTTCAAACAGATAAAGAATATTTAATAGGTTAAGTTACGAAAGTCTGCATGGGTTCTGTAGTGGTGGGTAGACCAAAATTCGAAGGTTAAGGTCGACCTTTTTCCTTCTTTAGAATTCTCCATAATATACTTAAGTGTATCTTCCGGTTGTTCTTTTATTTGGACTTGCTTTTATTTGAACTAACAACACCCTATCTGCTTAAGGTTGCAATTTTTTTTAAGTGGGAATTTTTTTAAGTTGGAAAAATGTAATGTCAGTATTTAAAACTATTTCACAGAAGGTAAGTAAGGAATTCCTATGATGCAGGCAGGTACGCTAGTTGTAGTTGTACAACGATGCAATTAAAGTCTTACCCCTTTCGTCTGTGTCAACAGATGATGATGACGGTGATGAAGCTAGATGGAAATGTTAAAAATGTAGGTCAAATTTTTACGTATATAATGAAGGTAATGCAACATTAGGGATAAAATTTTACATACCAATATTTTAATCGTCTTTGCCAGACATTCTTTTGTCTTAAATTTAGCATACCAATATTCTAATCGTCTTTTCTCGACATTCTTTTGTCTTAAATTTTACATACCAATATTCTAATCGTCTTTGCTAGACATTCTTTTGTCTTAAATTTAACATACCAATATTCTAATCGTCTTTGCTAGACATTCTTTTGTCTTAAATTCTATATACCAATATTCTAATCGTCTTTGCTAGACATTCTTTTGTCTTAAATTTTACATACCAATATTCTAATAGTCTTTGCTAGACATTCTTTTGTCTTAAATTTAACATACCAATATTCTAATCGTCTTTGCTAGACATTCTTTTGTCTTAAATTTTATATACCAATATTCTAATCGTCTTTGCTAGACATTCTTTTGTCTTAAATTTTATATACCAATATTCTAATCGTCTTTGCTAGACATTCTTTTGTCTTAAATTCATTGCTGCTAAAGTTTGACGTTAAAAATAGTTATGATATAAAGAGCAGATTGGCCAATTTAATTTCGGGGGTAATTCTGGGGACTAACATGATTACATGCATTTTCTATTTTAATTTGGAGATCTGACTAGCGCCACAATCGCAACCACAGGGAGCAGTCTAACAGAAAGTGGCGCAGCAGTACCAGCAAACAGAGAAAGAAGGCGGCTTATATGTGGTGTTTTGATTGAAAGCTATTTCTTAAAGGCTTGAATGTTTCTTGTTCTTTTCTGAGCTCGTATTAAGTACTTAGTAGTTGGTACGTCCACCAGTTCATTAGTCATTTTGTCAATTGACATTTTTATCTGTCTTGCAATGACCCATTTTACTTCCGTGACACTAGCACCCCTTTCATAGTTGTTCGTGCAGAATCTAGCAGCTTGATTCTGTACCATTTTATGTTTATCTTTGTCTTTCTTTTTATATGGATCCCATACTGTCGCGGCATATTCTAGGTTCGGTCTTACAAGTGACGTGTATGCAAGTGATTTTACTGTAGTTGGACATGCCCACGGATTACGTTTGATCACTCCTAATGTCTGTTTAGCCTTAGTTTTCATATAACTAATATGTGCACCCCACTTCAGACTGGTTCCAATGTCACGCCCAAATGCGGCTGGGTTGCTAAAGCAAGACCACAAAACTGTTAGTCAATGCGGTTCGCTTGTTAAGTGCACAAAGTAGCATTTTTTTTTATTAAACTGCATGAGCTATTTGCTTTGTCATTTTTCCAGGGTGTTCAGGTCTTTCTGCAGAAGTTGTGAGTCGTTCTGTGTAGACAGCTCTAAAAACAGCAGACTTTCATCGGCAAATAACCTGAGTCAAACTGATTCCGTAGGTCATTATTTTAAATAGAAAAAGTAGTCTTAAGGCGGTTCGTTGAGGGGCCCAGACGCTACTCTAACTGGAGTCAACGCCTTTTTGGACTTATCCGCGTTAAAAGATTTGGCCAAAAAGTCCCCTGCTGTTCCAGAACACGCTGCTGGGGAGCAAAATTCACACCTCTTATCCCTGCCATTTCTGTCACCAAAAACTTGTTCACGAAAACAGCTACAAAATCCAAAATTTCTTTTGCAGTACCAAGGCCAGCCACCATAAGGCCCGTATTTGACTTTGACCTTGTCTTCCTAAGATCTAACAACACACCAAATATCATCACAATCCATAGACGCCTTCTTAAGTTATACTGACAACAAAGTTGTGGAGACACACACGGCAGAACACAGACAAACACAAAGACACGAAAAAAAAACATTCACTTACTTACCCCTTTCCCTATAGCTAGCGGATGAACCAGACACCATTTTCTTTAATGACAGATTTTCACTGTTGTAGCTGATGTACAGGTAGGCTCCAGTGCTCAGAATCAAAATGGACAGAAATAGGAATTTAGAAGTCCTCCTCAAAAGAACCATCTTTACTATATAGTAACGATGACTTGTCGTTTTAGAAATAGGTTGATGAATTGTGAGTGGCAGACTCGCCTAAGATTCACCACGTCACACTAAATGCTTCCAAAGTAAGTTCTGCGAGGTGCGTTTTGGATTGCTCAAAGTCTCCAACTGCCGTTCCGCTTTGATACCTGTAATTCAAAATAATTGTTGCAGCGTAAATGGCAAGGTGATCTTAAGATGTAGTAGTAGTTGTAGTATTTGTTGTAGTTGTAGTAGTAGTTGTAGTAGTAGTAGTAGTAGTAGTAGTAGTAGTAGTAGTAGTAGTAGTAGCACTTGTTGTATATTATTAGTAAATAAATTAGATGCCAGTTCGATTCTTTACGGGGTGCTCATTTCGTGGGATGGCACAACCCTGGTAAAATTTTTAGCACAATATATACAAATAATTTGAAGTCTTAATCAGGTTACAGACCCTTGATTTTG